AATTATTTTAAAGTTCTAGTAACATGGTAATATTTTTTCTTAGTATAATTAATAAGATTTTCTCAACTAATCACCAGAAGATCAGAAATGTTAGGTGAGGTGAGGTTTGAGAGTGAATTTGTTATAAATATCAGGTGAAACGACTAATAGTCCGAACTAAGACCCTAGGGACTTTGTTGTAAGATATCTCTACTCATAGTGATTTAACTTTCCTTTGTATATACTGTTTACACATCACTTTAATCAATTTATTTTCTGTATAAGTTTTGTAAGGCTTTCAATAAGAGTACCTCAATCAAAATCTTCCAAGAATTGTAGCTACGGTTCTTGCTAAGGGTTACTAGCAGTACGTAATAAAATTATCAATTATTTATTTTTTTTTTTATTTTTTAAATAAATTTTTAAATAGTCAAGTTGTGAAATCGTATTTAAGTTAAGCTAATTATAATAATATACAATCAATTATATATTAACATACCATAATTTGTTTAAAATAAGAATATATTTTAATATAATTATTATTACAAAACGGTTTTTGTAATTTTTACTTAGTTTATCGAATATTCTCTTATATTACAGCTTATAAAAAAAACAAGTAAAATTACATAAGATATAATAAAAATATTTGTGTTAATACTCTTGTTATATTCACATTAATTATATAATGTTTTAAATCTTTTTCCACAGAAATTATTTTAAAATCCAGTATATTCTATTATGTTTAAATACATATAATGAAATTAATTATGCGAAATTTCTCATTCCTGACTAATTTAATAAATTTAGTACTACTGCGCATATTAAAAACATATCGTGCAAATAACAAACATTATTTCATAAAAAAAAATTAAATGTATTTTTATTCTCTTTTTAATGTAATTAATTATTTTATCAAAAGCTGTTAGGAAATAAATTCTTATACAATTTTCATTGCATAAATAATTCAACTGTGTTAATATGTGGATATATGTATACATCCTTTAATTATCTACAAAAAATATTTAGGTCTAGGTTAATTTATTTAATTAATTAGCATTTCAAAATTTTCGAGTTAAATTTTCATATAGTTGAAAAGATAAAAATTATGTAAACATATGAGGTAAGAATAAATATTTAAATATATAAAATTTGTTTGCATTATATGTTTGATTAATAAAGTTAACACACCAATATACATATATTGAAAAATAAAAAAAAAATTAGGAACTATGATATATTTAAAACACATGAAACAATCAAATTGTCGTTCAATTAAGTTTCTTTAAATAAATACTTAATAATATATTGCAGTTAGCTGTTTTAGCTTAACATAAAATAAACTATGTTATTACTTTTATTAGAGATTTTCACCAAAACACATTAAATATTCAAAAATAACAGCATAACAGCTTAAAGCAACACTTTAAAAAATAGTAAAACTAACTATTTGGCAGTATTTTGTGCCACATCCCAATCAAATAAAATTTATGTTGTAAGTGATAATAATTTCATTTCATTTTTTAACACGTTATATATGATTTGTAAATATATAAATTTTTATTTAGACTGTCGAAAAAGCATATAATTTAAAACAATTTGAAAAGTTAACAGATATATGGTGCTAATACTGTTGCAAGTATTCATTTTATTTTATTTACTTAAAATAGATGCGTATAACCATAAAGCGTATTATTAATTATATTTATTTAAAAAATTTGCAAAAATTTTTTAAAAAAATTTGTATGCTAATTTATGTATTAATATGATTAGCACATGTAAGGTGTTAAACTATAACTATTATTTGAAGACATGCGTTAAGATGGTTCCTAATTAAAGTTAATGAGGTGCCAGTCAGAAATTGTAATACATTTTCTATCAGAAATTTTGTTGTTGTTTTGGCATAAACGTGCTTATTAATAATAAAAGGAAATAAAAAAGAAGTGTGTTAATAGTACGCACTTAAAATATTACATTTTACTTCGTCTTTCTTTAAGCAATATTGGCATCAACTATTGAATGTAACGTTATATGAAGTGTGACTGTGAATTTAAGTGACAGGTTTTAAATTAACCACTTTTAATGATTGCATGTTACTATTAGTCGTTATATTAATTGCTGATAAAAATTATCATCTGAATATATGTATATAATGTTTGTAATGTCTGAAATTATCATCATCCATGGATATCCATGGACAATTATTATTAATTGAAGAATTTTTTAGTTGATATACGTTTATTAACCATTTTATAGTTAATGTAGTCTTATCAAAAGTCACTGATTGCTATCATTTCCGAAATAAAATTTTATTTGGCTAAATAGAGAAAATTTTTTATTAAAATTTCTGGTTGCAAGTGAACAAATACAATTTTGAACAAATACCAATACTCTTGGGTGTATAAATTTATCTGAAATAAATTTTTATTATCATTATTAGGAAAAATTAACGCCTTTAGACTGAACACCACTCTTGAATGATTAAGGTTGACTAATGATAATCTTTGCTGAACAGAATTAAGCCGCACTAAGAGTAATCTTCAAATCCTTAATTTACCAATAACTTAATAACCAATAACATGATTATCCAGGACCGTTCTCAAAGTTTAAAAACCATTTAACAATAATTTTATTTTTTAAACTGGCTTAATTGATCAATAGTTTTAAGAATAAATTTTTTTTTTAATATATTATTATTTACCAATATTTCGACTATATTCTGCTGCACCCTGAAGATAACTATACAATATAATATAGTCGAAATATTGGTTAAATAAAATCTTTTGAAGATAAAAATTCTTTTAAAAAGTGTATTATTTAACTATTACCCATTTAAACCGTTAAAAAAAAAACAAAATTATTATTAAGAAATATTTCACCATTAAAACAATAAATATTAAAACCATTTAATAAAAATAATAATCATCGTTTTAAACTTATTTCTTTTTTTTGGAAAATTTTTATTTAAAATACATAACTAAAACACCAATTTTTTTTTAAAATTATTATTCAATTGCGCCTAGTTACAAATAAAAAACTAATTAGCGATATTTTTATACCGGCGAATTAAAGCACAATGCAAATAAAAATTACGGTTCCAAAATATTTACACCCAATGTATAATTTTTCCTGGGACGATTTACTAGTTACCTATAACCTATTTTTTATTGACACAGTAATATATTGAATTTTCTAAAGTGTTTTACAGTTGGTTTATGATTTCGTTCTAATATAGCACAGCAAGTAAATTTATTAATAGAAACTTTCACAGCAAAGTAACATAACTCCAGTAAAAAAGTGCGAACATAAAAGTTAAGTACGGCTTTGGGTCAATTGATTAAGGAGCGCTGACTCTGAGCTTTAAATTTGCTAGGGCACCAGTTCGATTCCTGGTACTTGCACTCTTAAAAAATTGTTTACGAATAATTAAATATAATAAATAGTTCCTAGACCATTGATGATATTTGGCAATACTCGAAACAGCTGTATGATCAATCAAAAATTAAATTAATTAAAATAATATGAAAATGAATTTTTGTTGTAGTTCACTATTGTTCGAAAAACCTCTTTATAAAATGTTTTAAAGTAAAGTTATTCTAATCACAACTTTGTTGTTATTATACTACATGATTAACTAAATCACCGTATTAAAACTTTTAAGCTTAGAATCATTAATTCAGAAAAAAAATTCTATTTTAAATATATAAGAATAATAAACTCAAGTAAATATTTCTCACTCAAGAAAACAATTAACATCTTATTAAAATATTTTTATCTATGAATACATCAAGGTGCTAAAACAAACTGCATCAAACTACATCCCAAGTTTACACTCCCGCACCCATAGAGCATTCATTCGTTCATTTATTTGCAACCATGTGTGCCTGTAGTGTGGACGAGTATGTAAAAGAAATTTCAAATTTTATTTGTACAAATGCAGGTCTCCAATTCAATTTGAAAAGTTATTATGCATCATTAAATATGCAGTGAAAAAGAGGAATTGTGAATAAAATATATAATACAAAAAAAGTATAAAACAACGTTGACTTTTGTGTATAAATAAAGGTGTATAAAATAAATAAATAAAACTTATATATGCCTGCTTTTTCACAACTATACGTGAAATGAAAACAACAAAAAAATGTAGCAACATCATTTAAAGAAATGTCAGCATATAAGTAAAAACGTACAGTAAAGAAAATGAAGTGAATTTTCATAAAACAGAACTACAGAATAACAGAACGACATAAAAACCACGTACAACAGTCAAGCAAGCACTAAATAAATTGGAAAGAGTGTGGTTGAAATATTAAATAAAACTCCAACTGGCAAAACACAAACAAATGAGTGAGAAATTAATTTTACTTTTTGAGTATTTTTTAAAGTTAAAAAAATGTATGCAAACATATAAACAATGAGTATTTAATACTCAGTATTGAATAGTCTTTGATATAAATTTTTAAACGAAAATCACTCTTTATAAAACTCTTAGTTTTACTCAAGAGTCTGTGCGTTGCATACAACATGTATATAATTGTACCGCAAAGAGGAAAGTAAACACCAAAGAATACCAAAAATATACTCTTGCATTATGTAGAAGATCCAATGAGTATTTCATACTCATTGAATAGTCTTTGGAAGAACAGACGTGAGGGATTACTTCAGAATGAGTCGTTTTTTCCTTCAAAATAAAACAGCTGATAAATACATATAGGTAAATAGTCAACATATGTTTCTCTCTTTTTTTTGATTCTATCTCATAAGGCGAGTAATCCAACATTTTCCTCAGCACCACTGGCTACTGAGTACTAAAAACGTTTTTTTTCTTCTCCAATTTACTTTTTATATTGCTGTTATAAGTTCGCAACTTATTTTTTTTTGTTAAAATGAGCATGTCTCCTACTTCGCATGGCTGCTGCTGCTTTCATAAAACCATTGGAGAGTAATTCATATTTTCCTTTTTCATGTTTCCTAAATAAAGCATGAGTGCGCATGATATGGATTTTCAGTACAATTTCATATCACTCAATAAGCAAATCTCTACTACTCAAAGCGAAATCTATAAAAGCTGTACTGCCGGCCGGGTACCGTGTAGTAGCTTTGAAACACTGCTGAAATTCGCAACTACGTCTACTGGGAAAGATATTGGGCGAGACGACGCGCGAGTTCGCAATCACACACACTCCTCCACGAAAAGAGAATCATCTTTTTTTTCTTTGACAATAGTTCAGTTTTTCAATAGAATCTAAAATTTAAACCAACTAAAGCACGCTAATACCAACCACTTCACCCAGTCGTTCGTTTTACAAAAAAAAAAAGTTCAACCAAAAATAATTTAAATAGAAAAACTTCAATTTTTTTCACATCATTTATTTTTTTGGTCAACAAAAAAAGCTACGTTTGTGCGTAAATCTAAAAAGTATTGTGTTTTTCTTCAGCAGGAAACGACGAAGCACATTTCCTTCACACAAAGCGTACAAAGCTATCAAACCAGCAAAAAAACTGTAATTTATAAAAAAGTTTTTTTTTTTAAATAAAAAGTTTGCCATTTTATTGCAATTTTAAATTATAATTGAAAATTGAAGATTGCAATTCTCTAAACCAAAATTTAAAACGGAACTTCAAAAACAATTTTCCTAATTTTATTTCCAAAATTTTTCTGCATGAAATTGTTTCACAATCGACGGAGAAGACAAACGAAATTTTGCAAATTTTCGTGATATTTTAAGTGCTGTGAACACAAAACAAATACAAAAACAAAAAAATGTCAAAAAATTAAATGCAAAAGAGGAACTCTTGAAACGAAGTAGCAGGAAATTTGAAATTTGTGTTTGTGCAAGAATTTAACTTTAACTGTAGAAGCCGAACAAGAAAGAATCCAGTAGAAAATTATATTCAGGGAAGCATATTCAATTTTTAAATAAAATAAAACAAAGCGAACTTTGCGTTTCCAATTGTGAAACTTTAAAATTTTAAACTTAAACTTAAAATTTATTAAAATAAAATAAAACAAAAAACAGCGGTAAAGACTTAGAATAACAAATTTTTTATATGCTTAAAAATAATTAAGAAAAGAAAATCACACAAATCAAGAACAATTAATTAGTTGTTATTTTTAATCAATTCTGTTTTTTAATATTAATAACTGTTTTTAAAATATGTTTTATTATTATATTAATTGATGAACTCTACAAAACGATTACAAAAAATCAAATCAAAAATTTAACTCAGTTAGTCAACGTGCCGTATATCAGCAGCAGCAGTAAAAGAATGAAAAAATTATTCTTATAAATATAAACAAAAAATATATAAAAAAATGAAATTAATTCTAACACAATAATAAAAATAAATAAGAACTTTTTTGTGATTAAAGTGCATTTTTAATATTTATTCAATAAAAATATAAAAACTACAAGGGAAACTTGTAAAATAAAAACATTTATCGTTTATCATTAAACAAAAAAAATAATTTAAATCAAAAGAACAGAACAGTACAGAACTTAATTCAACTACAAAAACAACAACAACTACTACTACTACAATTACAATAGCAAATCTCTGTGCAATTTCAACAGAGTGTTGCTACCAAAAATTTTCCACAAAAACGTATACAACAACAATATTTGAAGCAATCGGTAGTCGTCATTGCAGCCGCTACAATTTCAGTAGCTGCAGCAATAACGACATTGACAAAATTACTTCAACATTACTTCAACCACCAACACCACAACCACCATCAATATACCACCAAGTCCGGTTACCGCCGAAGCTGCAACAATTGAAGCTTCACTCAATAATACAAAAAAATCCTCCTCCTCCTCCTGCAAATCTAAAGCAACAACAACAAGGGACTGGCAAAGGGACAACCTTAATTCAAGTACAGAAGAAGATATTAAAAGTGCAGCAACAACAACGACGACGACGTCTACGGTTACGTCCAGTAAAACGTCGACGTCGTGCAACGACGACGCAGAAGACGAAGACGATTTGATCCATATCGATCAAGTCTTCGAAGAATTGTTAATGAAAATGGAAGTGCTGTCAGTGCAAAATCAATTTCAGGGACAATTTGGTGTCATTGGTTCAAGCAAGGTTAAAGGTGAGTTCTAAAAACAGAAAAAAATCATCACATAAAAATAGTTTTTATTAGAAATTTTAAGTTTAAGTTCTGTGTGAGTGGCGCAGTGCTTCTTCTGCTGTTTGTAGAAAATTAAGAATAAGCATTTCTTTCTTGCTTTTTTTTTTGGGTAAATTAAAGATTGAAAATTTTAGTATCATTTTTTTTTCTTTTACACCTTATGCTTTGTGCAGTCGCGTAAAAAGTGTTAAAAAATTATTAGAAAAAATAAAGAAGAAAATAAAAACTTAAAATATATTAGAAATAATTTTTTTTCTTTTATAATAATTTTTATAAATATTAATTAAGAATATTTTGTTTACATTTCATTAAGACTTATAATCAGAATATTTCTAATTAGTCAATAAAATGTTTGCATTTTGTTTTGTCTTCTTTAGTTATAATATCAATAAATAAATAATTTTTATTTATATTTATATTAATTTATCTATATTTATATTTTTTTATTTATATTTAAATTAATTTACTTTATTAATTTATTTATATTTATTATAAATTGCTTCTTTTTACTAAAAATATTTTTTTTAAATATATCTGTTGAATAATATTTATAGATAGAAAGGTAGAGCGATTGATATAGATAAAACTTGACTTGATCGATCCGGGGCAATATCAGAATATAGTCTTGAAAGATAGAAAATCAAAAGGACATAATATTTAAGATTATTTTATCATTAAACAATTAATTATAGTTATAATTAATTATTGTATTTATTTTATAAATAATTAATAATAATTATTTAATATTATTATTGTTTGATATTCTTATTATTCGTCAATAACATCATAGTTATATATCTTTATTATTTCATAGTATTGCTATTTAACAATATTTTCGTTATTTAATTTTCTTAATGTTATTTTATAATATTATTGTTATTTAATATTATTAGTGTATTATATTGCTGAATATTATTATTTTAATGTTAATTTTTTCTTGCCGATACAATTGCGTCTTTATGACGAAAAGAAACTATTTAAAAGTTAGACGGATTCGAATAGCAAAGAAAAGACAGGGACGAACATTTTATTAAATTTACTTATTTATCTATCTATTATTAGCGAATTTTAACAAATGTTAAAAGAAAAAGAAAAATTAAAATACTTTCAATTTATTATTATTATTAAAAGCGAATTTATGATAATAATAATTACGAAACACAAAATAAAAGTACAAAGTAAAGTAATAAATTATAGATCCTAATAAAAATAAAAAAATTATATCAAAAGTTATCTTATCATGATTTTCTGTTTATATTAAATATAACAGAGTTATTAAAATAGCCGCAGATTGAAGAAATCCAATTAAAGATATTTAAGAATTATAACTTTACCTTATAGTTTTTTCTTTTATAATTTTATTTGTTTAAATTAACCTTAAATCTAAAATAATGTATAAAAATTAATTATTTAATTTAAAATAAAAAAAATACGTTCTATTAGTTTATGTTAGTGTTTAATAAGCGACATTTCTTACAATTTACAAAATTATATATGAACAATTTAAATCAATAAATATTTCAAAAGACAACTGATGATAAATTTTTATAAAAATAAATTTTTAATTAATTGTAGTTGTAGTCTATTCAAATTTTCCAAGTCCTTGTCTATATAAAATATATACTTCTCATTAAACATAAAATTACAATTAGAGTAGTTATATCTGTAAATTTTCAATATAATACACATTATTAGTCAACAAAATATATAAATTTTTTAATGCCAGGTATATTTAATATAAAAGAATTTTCTCTGTAAATATGATTTAGCTTGAAATATTGAAATTAAATATGTAAAAAAAGTAATATTTAATAACAAATAATATATAAATGAAATAAAATCTAAATTCTAAACTTGGATTCATATGAAATAATTATATAAACAATAATGCATAATGTAAACAATAAATAATAATTTAAAAGGAAATAAATAATAAAAAAATAATATATTAGAGATTGATTAAAATTAATTAATGATGAATATATTTATTATAAGATCAGATATATTTTTTGTTGACTTTTTAAATTATTTTAATCCATTATTTATTCCCATTTGCTTATTTATTTTTATTATTTGTTTATATTTTATGTGATTTAATATTTTTGTTTATGTTTTATGTAAGAATATGTTTTGATTTAAAATATTTTTTCAATTATTAGTTAAATACAATTTTATGTTGATCAGACATATGTTTTAGATAATGTCAATTATACTAATGTTCCAATTTTTTTTTTAAGAGTATATTTTTTTAATTAGTTGTTTTTTAGGTTTATTATTAATTTATTTATTTTAAAATGATTATATAATTTTAAAAACAAATAATTAAAATCCTAAGTATACATGTATGTACATATAAATATATAATTGTTTATTTAATTTACTTTAAAAATGAGATTCTTTCTGCTAACTTCTTAAAAAATATTTTATTAAAATACATATTTTTTTAAAGTTAAGGTCTGTGATATTTTAAATAAAAATACTATAAGTTGCAGAATTTAAGCAAATATTTTTGGACTAATAATTATTATAAAATGAACTTCCTTAATATTTTTTGATTAATTTTATGGTTTGTAATATATAACATAATATAAATCAAAATAAATATAAATTATTTATTATAAATCAATATTAAATATTCATGTTTTATTACAAAATTTTTTTAGACTATAAATATGTATTGAACATAAATTTGGATAAAATATTATTTTACATATTTGTATATATGTTACATATCTACTTTACAATTAATTTATTGTATCTTTGAACTACTTAATAAATTACATATAATAAAAATTAATCATAGTTCTCTATATAAATCTTATATCATTTATAATATATAATAGGAGTATCATACATAAAAAATGTATCATATATATTATACATCATATGTATTATATATCATATATATAAATTATTATTAAAAATAAAGTTATAATTTTACAAAAACTACTTGAATGGCAATAAGTCTACCCTAAAAGACTAAACTAAGCTTCATCTCCATTGGGACATTATATTTGCATAAGAATTTGCCGGCATATGTTAGATTATATATTAGATTTAGACTTAAAATCGATGACAGACTCCATGTAGACCTTCTATGGAAACGTTACGTTACATAGGGTTCTTGTTATAAGTTGTTCCACCCTTTTAGTGGTTTGGTTTTCCTATGTAGGAGGCTTTATGATTTTAAAGAGACTTGTATCACTTTAACCAATTAAGTTTCTTTAAGAATTTTGTAAGACTGCTGATATTTGCTTGTGTTTGCTGTCATATTTTATTAGTTGAATCAACTTAATTATTATATATATATATTATTTTAAATTATATTAACATAATTAAAATAATAATAACAAAAAAAAAAATGATTTGCCCTTAAAATACCAAAATGTCTTTGTTTTTATAATTTTATGTGTGAGTATTTCACAAATTTACTGAACATAAGTTCTGAACCTCTTTAAGTAGAATTCAAAACCAAGGCTACAATTTTATTAGTTCTATAAAAAGAATTTCGTGTAGTAACAAAAAATACAAAATAATTTATTTTTGGGATGAGTAATTCATATCTTATCACCATTTACATATCTTCTCGAACACATCTTTACAAAAAAAAATTGTTAATTGTATATAAAAATTTTGAACATTTTTCAAATTTGAAGGTTAAAAGTAAACAGAAGTAATCTACAATTAGACTTTCAAAAATTTACAAGTACTCATATGTCAATAATAGATATGTATATAATATAAATAAATATATATGTATGAACAGAGATATTTACAACAATTTAGAAATAGAAATATTTATTTTCTATTGTTAATTTATTCTTGTCTACACAGCAGTTTACACACATATGTTCATACAATATTAATATTGAATATACAATATACATACAATATTAATTTTATATATACATATATGTAATATATTACATTATTTCTTTTAAATTAAGTTTTAATAGAGTATTATTATTCTGTTAAACTATTCAGAAAATATATAACAAAAAGTGAAAAGAATTAGAAAATTCAAAAGAAAAAAAATTTCCATTACAATTAAAAATTCCTTATTAATTTTAAGAAATAATGTTTAACCTAAATTTTGTTGTCAGTGGAAAACATAAAAAAAATATAGGCAAGAATTTAATATCTTTTTGCTTGTTTGCACCTAAAGTAGCTGCCAAATTTTCTTTAACTTTATTAATAATTAAAAAAAATTAAAAAAAAAAACTTTAACATTTTCCACTTTGCAATTTCTATTCTCAGAATACTTAAATGTTTTATCATCATGTTTATTTTATTTAAATTTATAGATTATTTATTATTCATTCTGTTTAATATCTTTTGGGAATTTTCTTGTTGTTATACAAAATCATTTTCTATTAATTATCTTAAATAATGATTCAAAGAAGTTATACACTTTTAAAAAAAAAAAAGTGCCAGAAGGTTTTACTGTTACAATCCATATATCTCTGTATATATGTTAGTGTGTATATATAATCCATATGTGGGTTTTTTTTTTAAAAAAAACACTTTTAAACATATACATATGATAGAATGATTTTTTTTTTGGCACTTCTATTTCCATATAACATTAAATACTTGTATGAGTTTCAGTCAAAGATCATATATCATTTTATAAAATCATATACATATGTTAATGACGGAAGAAAACGAAACGAATAATGGATAAAAAAAAGCAAAATCTTGAAATTTGAAGTCCTTTTTATTGTGCTTTATTTTTTACTTTCATTTTTAAAAAAAATATATGTGTCAGTAGTGAAAAAGGATAATAGCAGCTGGTGTTGTTTGCTTGCAGCACATCTCTTTGATTCACAAACTGTAATATGAAATTATTTTTGAACTGAATATATGGATGTGAAGCAGATTTATTTTTTTTTTAATCGAAATACAAAAAATATAGGTAATGTCCTTGAAAACAGCAAAATATTATATGGTATATTGAAATAATAATTAAACATGTTAAAGTAGTTAATTTGAAAACTTAATTAAAACAAATTATTTCAACTTAAAATAAATTTATAAAAAATTAATAATTATTTTTAAACTGAATATATGTGAAGCAGATTTATTTTTTTGATCGAAATAGAAAAAGGATGGTAATGTCCTTGAAAAAAAAAACAAATTAATATGTTATATTAAAGTAATAATTAAGCATGTTTAAATAGTTAATTTGAAAACTTAATTAAAACAAATTACTTCAACTTAAACAAATACATAAAAAAATTAATAATTAATGAATGAAGATATTTTAATATTAAATAGATCTTATTATAATTTTTAACATGTACAAAATGCTTAAATATAATTATATATGTATTTATATTTATAATAAGTCAATTAAGAGCAGCAAGGAACAATGTCGTAGTAAGAAAGATAATATTTTTGCTTCCTACCAATTTTCCTTTAATTCCATTTCATTTTGAACAAGTCTTCATTTTCAAAATTAAACAAAAATTGTAAAGTAAATTTCCTTGCAATGTCAGCGCCAGGGATTATGCAACTTCCTGTGTTAATCCCTTCACTTTGTGCTAACGCAAAGCAAGCAAGCAGAGCAACTAAGAACACAGAACCAGCAGCTCAGCAAAAAAATAAAACAAAAAATAAAAAAACAAAAACAAAGAAATACTTATTAGTACAATAACAACAAACAGCAACGACAATGGCAATTACAACAACAACAACTGATACTACAACGACTAAGACACAAAACAATGTTAACAAATAACAAAATTAAAAAAAGTAGGAAGGTATTAAGGCAGGCAAAAGCAGTCAGTCGGGCAAATACCCTTTACATTGTTATTTTATTATTTTTTTTTGTGTGCTTATTCTTTATTCTACTCTTGTCTACTTGCTTGCATATTTGGTATTTCTGTTCTTAACAATTTATTTTATTTTTATTTTTTTTGAAATTTTGTTTTTATATTTTGTGGTTTTGAAAATTGCAGTCAATTTAATTTCATGACTGACTGCATTGGTTTTTTTTTAATGTTCTTTATTTATTTCCAACACACAAAGAGGATATCGTTGTCTAAAGGACACTTTACGTCATACACGTCTTCATTAAGAACTACTGGTTGGTGTGTGCTTGTCTGTTGTCACTTTACCAGTTTGTGTAGAAAAAAAGTTAGTTTTTTTTGAGTTTTTTTATTATCTTCAAGGACGTTTTTTTTAAGCCTGGTTTTAAAATTTCAAAGTATAAAGCAGTCTAATAATTTTTCACTAAAGAAGTAAAGTTAAAAACGTAAACTTCTTTTAAAGTATGTATGTATGTATTTATATATATCGATATTTTAGAATGTACATAAATATGTATAGGCCGTGTGCGAGTTCGAGTAAATTGAGATATGGTAAATTGAAATTTTCGAGGGATTTTTTGCACTATTTATTTACATAAATAATAAATTTACTGCAGTTATTTATTATTTTTGGTTAAAAGTTTTCAAATTTATTTATTTATTTATTAAACATCTTATAAAATTTTTACAATGATAACACAATTCACCTAATTTTATCTAATTTACCCTACTCGAAATTCTGGTAAATATCACTATTCGCTGCCATACCGTCATAATTTACTATTTCTCTCAATTTACCATCAATTTACTCGAACTCGCACACGGCCATAATGCACTTATGTTTAAAGTGAGAAATATACTTTTATCTTATTCATTAATTTATATACATATGTATGTATGTATATACGTCTGTAATCCTTGCATCCTTCGTATTTCACAAAATTTGCACAATTTTCTCCTTGATTTTCTACCGAAAAAAGCTGTTAAAATTTCACCTTCGCCTTGCAACAACGAACGAAACATGTTTGATTTTATACGCATTCATACAAAAAGCTATGTACATATGCATGTGCATACATACATATATACCTGATATATGCCTGATATAAAGTTGTTGTTTTATTGTAGTGGATTTTGCTTTAAATTTTGTGGGTTATTGTTGGCCGATTGTGTGTTTTCTTTAAAATATATGCATGCTGCACATGTGGACATTCTGCCTTTGTTTCTTTCTCTTTTATTGTATTTGATGCCAATTGAACATGTTGGTGCATGCACTTTGCCTGTCTCTACTTGCTTGCTTCGTTTGCTCTGTCGCGTTAATTTGTTGTCACCATCACCATCACCGGTTTTGAGCTGCAGCACAAATAGTTTAGCACTTATCCATAAATTAACTATTTTTTTTTTAAATTAACATATGCATGCATATGTATGTATTATAATGTGTATGTAGATTGTTATTCACAAAATATTATAAGTTATACATACAAACATGTTTGTATGCGGCATTCATTTTCGTAAGTAACATAAATAAAAATATGTTTTTATTTAAGAATATATAAAAGCTGCTTATTTGCATATCACATATTTATATATCTTATTAGCAAAAAAAAAAAAAATTAAATTTAACAAAATAAAAAAAATAATTTTTGTAAATTTATTCTTTTATATTCGTTTTTCATAATTATTCCAAACAAGACAAAAATATTAAGTTTACAACAAAACAAAACCAATTTTTTTATTTTTTTAAAAGTCAACAGCAACACAAAAATAATGTGAAGAACTTAAAAGCTGTAATTTCTTAGTTTTAAAAGTATACCAACAAGAAAATAAACGTAACAAAATATAGCAACAACAAAATCATATGTTCGTTCAGCACCGTCGCCGCAGCGCACATAAAACTGCATGATTTTTGGTATTGTGTGTAGTCAGAGTCGACGTTCTTGTTGTTTGGTTGGTTGGCGTTTAGTCAGTTAGTTGGACAGTTGCTTAGTTAATTTCACTGTCAAACTAGCGGCTGATTTCCAGCTGATGAGTTGCCAGGTGATTTCGTGTTGCCCCACTTCTCCCGGCTTTACATCCAAACATACTTACATATCTAATAACATAATCACTCCATTTGTGTTTTCAGTTTCTTTTTTACTCATTTTATTTTGTACTCTTGAGAGTGAAGTGCTTTTTTTTCTTGCTATGTTACCTCTCTTTCAAGTCATTTTGAGCATTTTCTCGCTCTTGCTCTATATGTTTCTACATGAATATATACATATATTTTATATATATATTTAAATATATATATTTATATAGATATATGTATGTAAAATAAATATATGTGTTAACATGTGTGTTTTGTGCTATAAAAGTCCACATGGTTGTTCTTTTAATGTATATTTATCTATATATATTATTTTTTTGTTTTTTCTTTTCGCTCAGCTGTTTCTTATTTACTTGAATGCCGGCAAGTGTTGTTAACTGTAAAAAGCAGCAAGTTGCATTAGTGTGAAGAATAATAAAGAAAATGTTTTGCTTACATATAATTCGTTGAAGACAAAGAGAAAGCAAAAAATACACTTAAAAAAAAGTTAGTGATTTATGATATCTTAATCTTCTGCCATACATTATGTAAAATTATTAAAATATTATTAGTACTTAAGTTACTAAATTGATTATTGAAATATGTACATTAATAAATTATGCTATTTTGCAGTTACACTAAAAATAGTATTCTAAGTAGAAATATTATAAAATATATTTTTTATCAGCATAGTTTTTAATTTGGCCTAGCACGTTTTGTTTGCATCCAAGTGATTTTGTGGCTCTCAGAGATTTAAATTAGAATTTTAACTGAATTTTAATAGTTTTAATAATTATTTTATTAATAATAAAAATTTTTATAAAACGATTCTAATTGGATGAATATTTGAATCTATTGCCTTGTTTACACTTACTATTGCCGAGACTTATAAAACATAAGCACATTTTTATATTGATTTTGTATAAAAAATTATAATTGTTACTACACGTTTGTCGAGTTAATTGCTAAAGTGTAAACGTAGCAGATTTTATAAAATATATGCGTTATATATTTATTACATATAATATAATTAAATTTATAACATATTTAATAATGATATATTATCAGTTCTACGCCGTGTGCGAGTTCTAATAAATTGAGGAAATAGTAAATGGTGTCGAATGTTGGTATTTACCAGAATTTCGAGTAATGTAAATTAGATAAAAATTAGGTAAATAAGGTATTATCGTTTTGAAAATTTTATAATAATTAAATAAATATTTACATAACTGTAGTGGAAAAAGTCCCTAGGAAATTTCAATTTACTTTACCTCAATTTACTCGAACGGCCCTAATATGCAATTTTATAATTATTATTTATTTGCTTAATATCTCTATAACCTATTATACAAAATATTTTAAAATGATTTTTTTAAAATACGGTTGGCTATTCTAAATACTACCTACTATACTAACATACAGTATGCTATATCTCTAAGCACTTTATATATACTATAAAGCATTTTAATATTTGATTAACAAAGGAGTTAACATATGCAAAATACTATGACTGTTAAGTTAAAAAAATCTGCGTACAAACATGCCACATAAAATTTAATAGGTTTTTTTTATATATATAAACAACGAAAATGTTTATTTAATTTTAATAAAGTAAAGTAAACAAATAAAATGATATAATTTTTTCTCTTTCGTTTCTTTTAGACTGGACAAGTCCATTAACGCCACCTCCACCACCACCATCACATAATCGTAGCCAACAACGTAGCTTAGTTAGTCAACAACAAAAACAACAAAACCAGCAGCAACAAAAAAAATCTCAATCAGATAGCGCAGAGAGTGGTATTGACATTGTTGACGGTATACAACCGCAACATTTCTATCACCGTAATCAATATACTCACGTTCATAATCGTCAACAACAACAAAAACAGCAGCAGCAACAACAACAACAACAATATTATTCACAATCACATCAACAACAACAACATCATTTATACCAGCAACAACATTTAAATTATTCAAAAATGAATACAACAACAGCTGCTGTCGCAGTTGAAAGCTCAACAAGCTCTCGTTTCGCTTACAACAACAATTTGTTATGCTGTGATGAAAGTGTTACAACAGCCACTGATGCAGCTACCACAGCAACAACACCCGACACAGAAGCAGTTAGTTTCATTACAGCCAATGATGAAATTAATGCGGCTGCCATTAATGAACTATCGCGGCGTCTGCAGGCAGAGCTGCGTGCGGCTAAAAGTCGTCATTTGGGTTGCACAGAGGTGACATTACCTTGGGATCTAACACCCCGTATTGCTGCAGAAATAATCAAAACATCTGAACGTGAGCCATGCGGTGTGCGCAGTTGTACTATTTTTATTGAATTTGAAGACGAGCCCAATAACACAAGGTAAGTGATTTAAGTTCTTTGTAGGATTGTACATTTTAGTTCATTTTCGTAAACTAGTTCTGTAATTCGTTCGTTCGTTTGAATGAACTATTTCGATGTGTTAATTTCTATATAGTCATACTTAAACCAATGCATATGTATGTTATTATTATTGGTGTCTAATAAGATGAGCTGTTTCGGAACGGTACTATAAAGTATAATTTAGTATATAACATATAAAACACTAATGTATTTAGTGTATAAAGTTCCCGGAATTATACTTGAAATGGCAACTTTAACTTTAAGAACAGAGAAAAATCATGCACAGCTATGGCAGCCAAGCGCGATGCGTGGTTGATAGCCCTACCAAGTAAAACAATAATCCCAACATTCTGCGAAGTGACTTTAACTATGCTCAAAACACTAGTTTCGGTTCGAAAATCTATCCTCGAAGTGATAACTTTAACTTTAAGAACAGGAAAAAAATCATACACATCTCTGACAGGCAAGCACTTCTATTGAAGTAGAAAATAAGTAAACTGATTTAATAATTCATTTAAATTAAACTATGACATTCATAATTGATATAAGCTTAGATAAAAAAAAAATTTATTAATTACTTAAAAGCGAGTGGCTGTCTCTATATCGGGATATCTTTCATCTTTGTATCGACAATCAAGTGCCGCTTATTTATATGACAGAGACCCAAACTCAACAAAAACGATAATGATTACTCAGTAATGATCCCACCGTCGCCTTCATTTCCCTCTCAATCACCACCAATCCACTTCCCTAATCGTGTAATAGTCTTGTATACCTTTTCATGTTATCTGCTTACAGATCCCAGCGGGTTACAACAAGAACAACTCAGTACTTTACTCAACTTTACTTTTGATATTACTTTTGATAACCAAAAAATTTTCAAATCTTTACCATATATATAAATATTAAGCTTTTATTAGTATAGTCTAAGGTATACTAATAATAAATTTTATTATTTTTTATTTTCAGGCGTATTGCAACATTCAAAGTGGATCCAAATACAGTTTCAACTTTCGAGCTATACTTGACTTTGAAACATGATAGAAGTGGTTGGACCTCGAAACTACCACAATTTTTAAAGTATGTATAAAATATTTTAAAGACTATAAGTGCATCTCGTTAACGCTGAACTATATCTTTTACTTTTCACAGAAACCTTACACGCAGCAGTACAATTCTAATAAGTCCAGATTTTACGCTGACCAAAAATAAGCTTTATTCTAGTGAATAAATGCAAAATAAAAATAAAAAAGCAGTATATTAAAAAACAAGTTCTAAATTTTCTAAACTAAACAAAGGGCGTGCCGCATATGAACTGCTAGTTGCCATAGGCGGTGTTAATAATTGGGAGACTAAAATTTAAACACACAAACACCAACACACCACATATATAACATACATATTTCTATATCGCTGTCAGTGCGTGGAAAGCAATGGCAAAACACACCATACACCATATTAAATACACCACACTATTACACAAATAAAAACAAAATATAATTATTTAAAATCCCTCCGAATTAATTTTTTGATATCTTCATAAATAATCAAACAAAACAAATTTAAAATAAATATATATATATATATTGATGATTAAAGAAAAAAATCAACTGAAATCGAAGTCATAGAGGCAAAATTTAATTTAAAATAACAAATAATAAAGTTTCAAAATATAAGAAGAAAAAAATTTTTTTAAATGAAAAATTAAACTTAAACAAAATATTAACTTTGGACCACACTTTTCACCTCTACTTTTTATAAGCAAACCAAGAGCAACAATAAAATAAAAAACAACAACAGCAAAAACAACAAATCAACTGCAGTTGCAGGCAACTTTAAAACTAAAACTAACAACATTTATAAACAATCGGACTGACTTTTGGATATAAAGTATTGCATTAAAATACTTTTCTTTTGAAAAACAAAAAAAAAACCAAAAATAACAAACAAAACAAAAGGCTACAAAATTCAACGTTTGGTGTTTACTCAATCAAGTGCGGAAGCGGAAGTGAAAATTTTTTTCATAGTTTTCATTAAGTATTATTAATAAAGGAAAACGTATTATATAGTTTTTCTCAAGAAAATTTAATTAAAAATAAAACTAAATATAAAATAAAGTTGATGTGATATTAAAAAACAAAAATACTACAAATGATACAACAACAACAACAAAATTGCTTAAAGGAGATAATTTAAAATTTGTTTAAAGTAAAACTGAGCTTAAAGAAATAGTGCGTGAAAATGTTTTAAATATGATATTTGACGAAAATTATTTAGGTAATTGATAAGAGAAGAGATTAAGCATTGTCAAAAATTTTGCACACAACTGTGACTTCATAAAGAGTCTCGTTAATTTTTTATGAAAATCATTCATTAATAATATCATTTAAAGTGCATGAAAAAACTCCGTCACTTTTTAAACGATATTTTTGCTAATGTTTATAAGAAATAAAGAAATCAAATCATATTTATCTATTACATATTAAAACTGTGACTGCATATCTATCGGTAGTTTACAGTACATTAATTAACATCTATCATAATTTTCAGCAAAAACCACATTCATAAGCTCCGTACTATACTATTATTCGTTCCATCTTTGTTTCATTTTCATTTTGGTTCTTGATTCACTTCAAGTTAAATATAATTTTACTAGGAGTTTTAGAAACAACAATAAAAAAAACAATATAACAAACACAATATATAAGCTTTTAGCTATTTTTTATATTAAATTATTTGTAATAACCAGTTTAAATTTTTTTTTATACTATTTATTATTAAAATAAAAACTGTAGTATTTTTAGTATGTTTAGGAATTTTCAAATTTAGTTGTTACTATTAAAATATAACAAATAAAACAAAAAATAAATGTAATAAAAACAAATCAATTTTGCATATAAATATATATTATATACATATATACAAAAAATATCTTTGTGTTATTAAAATTTCAAAAATTTATAAATTTGTAAATGATTATTCAGTAGAGTTGACTATATTTATATGCGTATTAGTAGGCTATTATAAAAAAAAATACAAAACAAATTTTTTCTAGATATGCAACTTATGTAAATTAAAACAAAAATAAAAACAATTTGTTTAGGTTTCTTGTTTTCGTTTACTTTGATAGTAAACTGCAAGAAACAAATTTCATTAATAAAAAAAAACAACAACAACAACAAAAATTATGTATTAATATTTAAAATAAAAAAAATGAAAAAACAAAAAAAAATCGAAACATTAAGTAAAAATAAAATTATAAAGTCATCTGTGTTATAAACTATTTTAATATGTATTAAATGTAAAGCAAAGAAAACAAATATATAAAAGAAAACAAATGCTAACATAAAAATTTGTCTAGATTTAAGTATTTTTTCACTGAAACATTTTTCATTGATTTTACAAAAATCAATAACAAGAACAAACATTTAATAATATAAAAAATTTCATACAACAATATAGTATTACACACTTATATCAAAAAATACACTGTAAAAGTTTTTTTAATACAATACACTTTTATCTTAACATATAAAAAAATGGCGTATATTATTTTTGTAAACAGTTTTGTAGTGTTTTATATTAGAAATTTTCCTTTTTATTAAAAAATTAAAATAATTTTTAATTCCATTAAATCTGAAATATATTAAAAGAAAATCTCTCTTGCAAGTTAATTTAATAATTTTTGTCTTTCTTTATATTTTCTTTCTTTCTAAATTATTGTATTTAAAAATAATAATTAAACAAAAATTAAAAATAAATAATTTTAGCATCTAACATATATTATAATATACTGATAAACACATATACTAATTAAATATTTCTTGCACAAAAGTTATAAAAATTACAAAAAAAATATATTTAAATTCTTTATAATTAAACAAATTAAAAATAAATAAAAATATATATATTATATTATATTGTATATATTATATATAATGTATTTATATATTATAAATATATATATAAATAATTATATATATATATATAACAAAAATTATATATTATGTATTTTTTATTTTAACTTGTTTAAAAAATACATATAATTTCAATATGTATTTTAACAGTGTATAATAAATATGCTAGATGTAAAAATTAATATTTTTAAATTCTGTGTATTTATTTATTTTAATAATGTTTTTGGTAATATCTAAAATATTGTTTTTGTTCAATTATAAAATAACATTTAATTCTTATATTTATTTATTTTTTGTTTTTAATTTTATTGCAAGCCATATATATCATTTAAAAACCAATATTTTTTTGCTCTTTTATATATATTTTAATTAATTTATGTGAAAGTTAATATAACATAATTAAATTATTAACACTACAAAATGTTCAAAAAGAAATTTTTTATAAAAAATTTAACAATTTAATATAATTCATGTATACTAAGTTAGTTTTTTTTTAATGTATAATGATAATTTTAAAAATATTAAGTTAGTTAATGTTAATTTTTATTATAACAAGAGAAAGCTAAAACTACGATCTCGAATTTTATTTAATATTATTTTTATATAAAAAATTAATTTAAAACTTTTGTTTTTTGTTTAACCATACATACAGCAAAGAAATTAACTCATACAAATTATTAAAAGTATATAACAATAGACACAACAGAAAAAAACTAAATACATATATATAAACAATTCAAATACACACACTCATATATTCAAGTACACACATTGTAAAAATGCTTTGTAGTTTTTAAATTTAAAATATATGAAATGATTGTAATATCAATTATATAAAAAAATTAAAATAGGAACCATGTATGTGATCTATTAAATTAAATAAAAATAAATATTTTTTAATAAAAAAATGCAAAATTATTTTTTAGTTATTAAAAAATTCCTTAAAATTATGAACGCTGTCGTCATTTTTAGTAGTTTATAATATAATTTAGATTTCATTTTAATTACAAAAAGCTTAATAATTTGCAACATTTATAAATATATATACAATTATCATTTAAATAATAAATAATTATTATGCTTTAGATGTTTATAATTTGGCAAAAATTAAAAAAATTACAAATACGTATATATGCGTATATATATATATTATTACAAAAAAAAAATATATATATATATATAAAAAGAAAAAAATCACTTTGCATTTTTAGCTGTAAAAACAATACAAATTAATTAATACAAAAAACAAAACAAATTTGTATAAGGATAAAATTTTTAATTTGAAAATTTTTAAATTTTTTATTTTGCATTATTGCAACAATTAAATTTTAAAACTGACTCGTCCAGTGCTCCTCAAAGTATTTGTAAACAATAAAAATGATGATAATGATTATAAGTATAAGAAAATCATATATAAATATATAAAGATACATATATTCGTGTATATATTTGGAATATATAAGTAATAAATGTTTAGTATTTATATATATATATATATATATAAATATAAAAAATAAATATTTAGCATTAGTGTGTGTTTAAGGGTACCAAAATAATATAAAAAAATAGCAACAATAAAACAATAAATTTTTTCGCTACACAAATATAGTGCTTACATGAACCAAACAACTACAACAACAATATTTTAAACTATTAACAATAATTGATATAGAATTTGCATAAATAACTATTTCTTTCTTTCTAATTCCTATATAGCAAAAATAGTAGAAAACAAAACAATAGAAAGTTTAATTTGCTTCGCTTAAATATATACGCAATTTAAATAACAAAAAAACAACAATAACATTTAAAACTAAATAGAAATGCAAAAGCAAAATAGAATACGTATATATATATATATTTATTTATATATATATGTGCGTAAATATGTATATTAATTACTTATAAAACAAAACAAAAAACAAAAGTATGTAGTTTTAAATAAAGTTAATCATTAATTATTATAAATGTAAATTATTAAAATAAAGCATGACTCATCAAAAGTGAAAGTTAATTAAGGAAGAAAGCTAAAAAACGAGTTATCCCACCATATGTGATGAATTGTTAAATATAAATTAAAATAAACAAAAAATTAATTATTAACAATAAAAACTATAATTATAAAAATAATATATTTATGTACATTATGAAGTAAAAAAAAAAGAAAAAATAATAATTAAAACACACAAAGAAAACAAAACAAATGTTTAAAAACGAAACAAAAAATTTATGATCTTCAAAAGAAAAACAATGATATATATAACAAATAATAAGTAAAACAACAAACCAGAAGTGATTTATTTTAATTAGTTTAAGATAATTGTTCTGTTTTCTATATATGTATATGTATATAAACTATTACATATATATAATTTAGTTATTAATTGAACAGTAAAAAATATTCAATAATTACTAAAAAGCAAATATAAAACAATTAGTGGCGCTCTTACATAATAATCTGAAAAAAAAAAACAGAAACATTATGTAAGCAGCAAATATATATATATATATTATATAACAAATTAACAATTTAGGAATTAACAAATTCAATTTCTCATTATAATTTTTTTTAATTAATTTTTTTTATTAAAAATTATTTTTAACGAAAGCAAATAAAATAAAATTGTTTTTAAAATACAAAAAAAAGATATTTTATTTCGTTTATTTAATTTTTTTTTTTTTTGTAAGGTTGTTTTTTTTCTTGGTTTAATTCACATTCTTTATTATTTAAAGTAATTTGGAATATGAAAATAATACTATGTTCAGACACTCCTTAGTTTCACAAAAATCTTAATTTCATCTTCTGTTAGGAATTTAAAATAATAATTCACATACCTGAAATCCACTAAAGCTAATAAAACTACTGAATGCTATCCTTTATAGTTGTGATCAAAATTTCCCAGATTTAAATGGTGTCTGAAGCATGTAATTTTTAACATTCGATTTGTAAACAAAAAACATATGATTTTCTTAATTTGGTGCAGTATAAACACTTTCGAAATTAACTTAATTTCATTTTTACGAAATTAAGCAAATTTGTCTGTCTGAACATAGAATAACGATTTCTGAAGTACTAAAAAAATTTATGTTGTAAATCGTAAAAGTAGTAAGGTATATTTTAATTGCAACACTTTAAGGATTTATAAGTCAGAAAAAAAATGTCTGACATAAAATATAATTTTACAATAGAATATCATGGAACGTAATTAAACCATAACATTTATTTGAAATAATAATTTTGAACTCTTTCAAACACATTGACAACTATTAGATCAGTCTGAGATGTTCTCATAAAAATGGTATCTAATAGCTTTGTACCATCACTATCTGCATTAACGATAACTTTTTTTGACTCATATATTTCAGAGAAAAAATCTTACTCTGAATTTGAAGAATTTTTTTTCTTATTTACATATTGATTGGTGGTTCGGAGAGCCATTATATTCCATTAGGTTTATGATTATTTCTTTCTTTACCTTAAAGCCTTATTATTAACCTTATTTATTTTTATAAATATCTTCTATCTCTTCACCACATAATATTAAGATCATAAAAAAACTATTAATTTAGGGACTCAATACAAAACCATTTTTTAATATAAAAAATATATCTGTTCCTGTAGTACTTATTCCAACTTCTATAATTAGGTAACGGTTTCCGCAATATATATCATACAGAACATAGTTTGAAAAAACGCAATATTATTTTAACGTATTTATTTAATTATAAATTTATTATTATTTACAATATATTCATTTCAATTTATTTATTTTTTTAAATTTTGAAATCAAATTGTTATTCACCTATAATTTATTTTATTAATATGTCATATATAATATGATTAATAATATTATTTATATAAAAAAGTTTTTCGTGTTAAATTTCTAAACCATAAAGCTTTTTTCTTGTTTTATATATTATATA